CTGCGTCTGGACACCTGATGCCTTTGCTGAATGCGACTGCGTCTGGACACCTGATGCCTTTGCTGAATGCGGCTGTCTGGTTCGAAGCGAGGCTACTCGAGGTGGGTGCCCCGGGTGATGCTGAGGATTGGGAATGGGATCTCGTCCCACAGCCTCGGCAGACAAAAACCGATCCTCCAAGGTCATCATTGACTCAATGAAGTACCACTTAGGCTCTTCATCCCCAAAGGACGCTCGGAACAGGTACCCATGCAGATTGGGTGCATCCTCGTATCCGATCCTCACCATACTGTGAACTTCTCCCAACCGGTCGAGCTCAAACTGGGTGTTGCGCTCTGTCAAACCGTACGGCTGAAACCCAAACAACCATGGCACCGGGTTTTCATAACCTCCCCAGATCACCTCAAGCAGCGGAGTCTCTTCCCAGGACCTATTCCTAGCCAAATACATCGAGAGGGCAAACGCTGAAAGGGGCCTATCCCTGACGTGATTTAAATCACCATAGTGCGGCCCAACCCGAATTTCTCGCCACTCAGAACGCGGTCTCATTACTCCCTGTCTCCTTGCACGCTCAGCTTGAGCATCATCCAACACGGTGAACCTCTGTCTCCAGACGGGGGTCGGCACAGCGACGTCCGCTCGGTCGTTGGTATCGAGCTTGGCAACTCGAGGGCAACCCTTTTCCAGAGGGGCCGCCGCACCTAACTCCTCGACCTGAACCGTGGGTTCCCGTTCTACGCAACCACAGTCTTGCTTCACTTCCGAAGGCGCCTCTCGAGGCAGTTGGAAACCGGCCTGCCTCAGCCTCCACACCGTATTTTGCTCTGCACGTTGAATGGCGGTTAGGCTATAGGCCACTAAAACCACACGTGATCCTTCCGACCATGTCTGCGAAGCATGAAACTTGCGTGGATCCAACTCAAAAGGCACCAACACCTGCAGCGGCCACAGTTCCCCTGCAATCATCTTTCCATTATTCAAGCACCTCTGGTCTTCCCCCTTTTCAGCCTGGCACCAAACACCTCCCCCCACCTTCGGGATGCATAGGGGCACAAGGACATTATTATACCCTGGCAGGTTGTTCTTATCTCGGTGCACAGCTGAGTCTACATCCACAAGGAGGGCTAGGGTGGTCCATCTGGCTTCAGGGGCACACTCCTTCACAAGGCGGGACAACAACGCCACGAAGCCTGGAAACAGACGACACTCTGCGGTGATGCCCAACACTCCTCCATGGCGGAAAAATCCCAAGGTATGGGTATGTCCCCCTTGGAACACTTCACCTCGGCTCCTTGGGCGCGCAGTTCTCATCCAACGGCTCCCGAGAACATGATCTCGAAGCTCTTGAAGAGACGTCCCGGGGTTCCGGGCTAACCGGAGGGCTTCAGCATCCTCCTCCTGCAACACGGGTGAGACCTCTCGAACCATCCGAACGGTGCGTTTGGTAGGAATGCGGTGGGAGATGATGGGCACTGGTCGTTCATCTATCGGTAGGTCCCTGTGCAGAGGTTGCATGTCCCCCTTTTCACTGGGAACTGGCTCGGTTGGGTGCATCACTTCGGTGAGCAAGGTCGTGGTTATCATTAACCTACCATCACTCAACAGCACCACATGCCCCTTAGTAACCTCAACCGACGGAGCCAACACCGTACCCACTAGACCCCTAGCTGCCCATCTCTGGCCCTTCCTGTTCCACCTTCGGTTTCTCACATAAACCTTGGTGCCAAAAGGGAGAACATTGCTGGGCGGTCCCCCAAGGGTGGGGCTGAGTCTCGACCTCATCCTGGCGGCAACATGTTGCAGGGCGAACGGCCAGTACCGATGTTCCACAGAAGCTGCCGTCATCAGTACCCTTGCCTGTCTTTTGATCCGATTGATCATGCCTTCAACTCGCCCGTTCTGCTGATAATGGCCCCCTTCGCTAGTGGTCTTGAAGATCCCTCGATGGCGGAGGAACGAGCGGAGACGCTTGTTGCAGAACTCTCTGCCTCGGTCACTGTGGAGCCGAGTCACGCAATACCCAAGGGCCTGGATCTGGGTAATCATGAACGCGATCCCATCAAGAACGGTTTCTTCACGCTTGTTCGGGAGGGGCACCACAAACGGCAGCTCGTACATCTTAGAGGTCTTCAGATGCTCCTTCTCTTGATCGGCCCATTCTCGGCTCATGGTTTCCTCCTCACGGAGCTCGGCATCGGCGGCACAAACAAACTCCCGAGAATCCTCCTCCGCCTGTTCCCATTCC